CAAAATTTAAATAGCCACACGTGATTACTGATTCTATACCGGATAATCCTAGATTAAATCTATTATTTTTCACCTTCTCCAACAGAGTTCTTGGCCCCTAAGTGGGGCAATGGAAGCTAGTGTGTTGGAGTTAGTGAGACTGGCTCAGAACAGGGCAGGGTTCAGAGCTGATCTATAAGGAGTCACTATAAATCGCAGGCAACTCAATGGCACATAACAACAATAACATACCATGGCAGGTTTGGAAGCAGGAGTGGCATCTACTTCCTAAATAGCATGCCTCCAGAAACCCTATAAACTTTGATCAATGTCGATAGTTGTAGAGGGGCTTCAGGCTTTTTGTTCACAGGGTCGCTATGAGTCATGTTCAACTAGAAGGCAATCAACAACAACAACAACATGCATACAATTAATATGTGCTTTGTACATGGTTAAGTATCTGTTGTTATGTGCCAGCAAGTCGCCTGCAACCCATAGCGACCCTATGTACAACAGCTCTGAAGCCTGCCCTGTCCTGAGCCAGTCTCACTGACTCCAACACACCAACCTCCATTACACCAGTTACTGTGTCAGTCCATCTCATCTGGGGTCTTCCTCTCCTGTGCTGTCCCCTCTACCCTTCTGAACATGATGCCCTTCTCCAAGGATCATTCCCTCCTGGCCACGTGCCCAAAGTTTATAAGGCAGAGCTTCAAAATCCTAGCTTCCTAACTGGGAGGGACTGGATAGCATTATGGTGAGTGAACTAACTCAGTTCTACAAGGACAAATATTGTTTAAAACCATTATTGTAGAATGAGTGTGAGGGTCCAAGGGGATGAGGGTGGAAACAGAGAGATGAGGATGGCGGGGCGGCGGGGGGGGGGCATTAATCATGATGCAGTACAATTTGATGAGTGGTAGGGTGAGGTAAACTGGAAGAATCTGGTGCAAAAAAACAATGTATTCGAATTCTATAAATAAACTAGTATAATTAAAATAAAAATCCTAGCTTCCAAGGAGAAACTTGGTTTCACTCTAAGACAGACCTATTTGTTTTCTTGGCAGTCCATATGTTCAAGACTCTTCTCCAACAAAACTCAAAGGCATCGATTCTTCTGTAATGTTTAGTCATTATCCAGCTCTCTGAGTCTGGTCTGGTCAAAGAAGCTTTCCTAACATTGGGACTACATCCAGCATATACCAGGCCAACAGAAGACAATGTGTCCCTAACCCAGCCTCACCAGTTGCCTTACTCAGTGACAGGCACATAGCTGTGCTTAGTAGAGCTGGTAGACTATAAAGACCTAAGAGTCCTGGAGATTTTAACAATATTATCCCTTCTAATAGTGTCAAACTAGACAGGAGACATCTCAGTCATCTTCCCTTCATGGCACCAAAAGAATCCACCTTAGAGGGAACTTAAGTGATCCAGGCAGGGAGAGCAGCTAGAGAAAGAGAAGAAACCATAGAGTCTAGTTTTCTCTAATGCACACAATAGAAAGATAAGTTATGACAACATTCTACAGTCTGCAGAGCAATAATATGCTTCATCTAATCAGTGTTGCACAGGAGAGAGGGAAACGGTGCTGATTTTAATTAAATGTGTCCAGCTAATATCCAAGGGTCACCATGACACAGTGAAGTAGGAAGCAGCTGACAAACCCCACAGGGAATACAACCTATTAAGATACAAGAAGGTTGAATTTGGGTGTCCCCATCAAAGAAACAGTTAAGAGAATTCCCATGTTCTTCTACAAAATAAGATTTCTACCAAATACTCCCCAGAAGGGGCCCAAGGGGGCAATTGAGCTTATCACAGCTGATCCAAAACTCATAAAGCTGCTCAGCTGGTTTATAAACCATCCCTCCAACTTCAGGGACTATTGCTGAGGAAGCAGTAAGCCCCCACCAACAGCTAGCTATTCATCTGCAGGCCCTGAAGGAAGGGAGCAGCACCCTGTGCTAGAGGTGTTCTGGGGACAGCAGCTAGTCCCAAGTCCTGGCTGCTGATGTCACTCCAACTACAAAGTGGAACAAAGCCTGAGACTTTGGGACAAGCATCCCTGCGTTCCACTCCAGCCTCTACCAAATGAATAGCTGTTACCTCAACCAAGCAGCTCCCTCACTCTAGGCCTTACTTTTCTCATTTGCAAAATGAGGGGGTTGGATGAAATGATGACCTCTAAAATCCCTTCCAATTCTGACTGCAAGTATGAGAATGACTCAGAAATTAACAAAAGCAGCCAGGAGAGAGGATGCGGTAAGGTCACAGCCCCCTCCAGAAGTACTCAAATGTTATATCCCGGTCTGAATGGGGTCGAAGGAAAGCAGCAACAGGATGAGCTGCAACTATTTGGTTAAAGGACTGGTTTTACTGAACAAGGCTAAGAGGTCACCAGACCACAGACAAAGCACAAGACCTCTGGGTAGTCACTACCTCCTATACTCTCTCAGAACTGTGAAACAGCCAAGCTCAGGAGCCCTGCCAAGGTGCAGTTGCGACCCAGCAGCGTTCTCTGTCCTAAATACCCAGGGAGGGTCCTGATACACCCCCACTCCCCAGTACAGAGGAAATGTCTCCTTCCTTTCTCTTCAGGCACCCTCCCAACAAGGCAATCCCTACAGCTCACCACACCTTCCTCCCTTGGGTTCATATTCAAAAGACTTCTGGTTTTGAAAATCATTTCATTACTCAACATCTAAGGTTAAGTTAATCAAAAGTCAAGATCTAGAAATCTCCGGTCTATGTCGCTGGAACAGGCTTCTCGGAACCAAATTCCCCTCACAGCTGTAATTATGTCTTAACCAATATTTGGATACGGAAGGGCTGTTGACACTGCTGTCACTCTCCTTATGCCTCATTCTTTCTTTCATCCTCTATTATTAAGCGTTTACACAAAGATGTGTGGGAAATCTACCACTTAACAGTTGAGTCAACTTGTTCTGGGAGCAGGCTGCCTGTCAAAACAGACTCCAACTTCAATCTTCACCTACTTTTAACCTGAGAAGGATACATTATGCTCACATAAGCTCATTAGACTATTATGCATGTCACTGAAAACACTGTTAAGATTTTTTTTTCCTTTCAAAGTTAATCAAAGGTAAAACAAATCCTACTCTTTTTCCCTACAAAAACCACAAGAGGACCTGAACCAGCCATCAAAAAGCACAATGAAGGCTGGTTTTGTGTGTGTGTCTATTCCACAGACATGGAACAGAAGTCAGAGCTTTTGTTCTTTATACAGCGTTCTCCCTATCCAAGAAAATGAACAGCCAGTGTCCCCAAACTGCTAGTGGGTGACAGCAGATGGTGTCTCAGAGGGGACAGAGAAGTCTCATGGAAAAGAACGGCTGTCACTTCCTCAACTGTCAACTGTGTAGGCTAACTGGTCACACAGCATTCACCCAGCTCCCCAAGGTCAGAGCCACAGACAATCGGAGCATTCCCTCCCTTTTCCACAACTATGAGAATGGAAAAGGGTCTAGGGCACAGATATTCAAGTTCCAACATACAATCGATTACTTCTACAAGACTCAACACTAGAAAACCATCAGGCACTCACAGTAAAAGGGTATAGTAAAGACCAAGACATCTGAAAGAGCACAAGGTAGCAAAAGCCTCTCCCAAAAGTGGAAACATCAAGAAGATCCTTTGCAAGGCCTTAAACCCCCAGAATTGCACATAAGCTTGACCTCTATCACCCCAAAGTGCCAGGTTCTGAGTATATATGCCAGCAATCCACTGAGGTTCATACCTAAGTTTTGTATTTAATGGCTCAAATACTGCTGGCTATAGGGGTTGTGGGGGAAGAGAAAAATATAACACAGGAAGTAATTTTCTCCTCCTCCAATCATTAACACACCCTGGGGAAACAGACCCGTGTGTAACCTTTAGAAAAGTGGTTTGACCTAACAGCCCTCTGAGGGGGTGAAATCTACTTCTTGAAGGGCTGGCTTCACTGCCCGGAGACCCCCTCCATCTCGTCTGACCTCGAAGTCCATTCTCTCTAACTTCTGAAGCAGGTACTCTCTTCTCCCCGCTACTACACCACCCTTTCAAAAAATAAAATAAAGGTTGGGTTTGTCCAGTTCAAGGATAATATTCTTCCCTACTGTCGATCAACAGTTCATCTCCAGGACCAAAGAGGTCACCTCCGATTTGCGGAATCAGCAAGCTGCCAATTCGCGGTTTAGCGACTCGGTTTAGGAAGATCAATGGAGCTATGGTAACGGTAGACCCCGCGCCGGGTTTGCTGGCCTCCCATCTGGGGCGGCTCAGGCACTCTAAATAGGAGGGGGTCACTTCTGATATAAATAAAAAAATAAATAAATAAATAAATAAATAAGAAAGAAAGGCCCTCCCCGCTCCGGGGGGGGCGGCGTCCCCGCGGAATCTCCAGCCTTGCACCTCGCGGGCCAGCGCGCCCCAAGTGTGCGCCGCCGCGCTCACGAGGCCCGGGGAAGTGAAATCACACATTCCGGCTCCCAAATAAGGAGCGAGGCCAAATAAACCTCCGCGAGCCGACTTCTCCAAACCAACCGACCAACCAGCTCAATGAGTAATGGGTCTTTTGTGCCCGCGGAAAGAGGGAAAGGAGGGAGGAGAAGTTGGGGCACTACCGCTCCCGAAAATCTCTCCCTTGGGGAGGGGAGGTTGAAAAGCAGAAGTGATCCCAAAGTCAACCGTCCCGATTCGGCTGGATCCCGCTCCCACCCCAAAACGGGAGAGCGCGCTCTCCGAATCGCTTGCGTCCTCGCCGCTCGTGGCCTGAGGTGACCGGAAACCCGGTCCTGGCGGCGCGGTCAGCTCCGACCTGACCTTCCCGGCTCCCCTCCCCGCACCGCGCACTTGGCACCGCTCGCGCCCCGGGCCCGGCCGCCTAACTGCGGCCACTCCTCCCGCCGGCGCCGCGCGCCCCTTCCAGGGAGGGTCAGCAGATTAAGTTCCAGCGGGACGGAGGGGTGGTTCCCTGGGAGCCCCCTCTCCCTGCGCTCCCCTGTCCCGGGCGCAACACCTACTTTCAGGGCGAATTTCTCCTGGGTCCTCTTGTTGAAAATCTGCAAGACGTTCCTGTTGATGCCCAGTCCCAGGACCTGGGTGGTGACCTTGTAGTCGTCGGTGATGGCGGTTTTCTTAATCTGCAGGCTGGACTTGACGTGGAACTGGGGGAACTGTTGCGGGGGCTGGACTTGACGTGGAACTGGGGGAACTGTTGCGGGGGCTGCAGTGGCGGCTGGGCCAGGGGTGGGGTGCGGCGGAGCCGGGGCGGGCGGCTGCAGCGGTGGCGGGTTGGCAAACGGCACCAGCGGTGTCTGGCCTTGGGAGTTCAACAGCAAGGCCATGGTCTTTGCAATCACTTGTTATGCATCAGAAAGTTGGACAATGACTAGGGAGGAGAGAAGGAGAATTGACGCCTTTGAGCTGTGGTGCTGGAGAAGAGTATTGAATGTACCATGGACTGCCAAGAAAACA